AGGTCTAGTCCTATAGTCTAGTCTATAGTCTAGTCTATAGTCTAGTCTATAGTCTAGTCTATAGTCTAGTCTATAGTCTAGTCTATAGTCTAGTCTATAGTCTTAGTCTATAGTCTAGTCTATAGTCTAGTCTATAGTCTAGTCTATAGTCTAGTCTATAGTCTAGTCTATAGTCTAGTCTATAGTCTAGTCTATAGTCTAGTCTATAGTCTAGTCTATAGTCTAGTCTATAGTCTAGTCTATAGTCTAGTCTATAGTCTAGTCTATAGTCTAGTCTATAGTCTAGTCTATAGTCTAGTCTATAGTCTAGTCTATAGTCTAGTCTATAGTCTAGTCTATAGTCTAGTCTATAGTCTAGTCTATAGTCTAGTCTATAGTCTAGTCTATATCTAGTCTATAGTCTAGTCTATAGTCTAGTCTATAGTCTAGTCTATAGTCTAGTCTATAGTCTAGTCTATAGTCTAGTCTATAGTCTAGTCTATAGTCTAGTCTATAGTCTAGTCTATAGTCTAGTCTATAGTCTAGTCTATAGTCTAGTCTATAGTCTAGTCTATAGTCTAGTCTATAGTCTAGTCTATAGTCTAGTCTATAGTCGTCTATAGTCTAGTCTATAGTCTAGTCTATAGTCTAGTCTATAGTCTAGTCTATAGTCTAGTCTATAGTCTAGTCTAAGTCTAGTCTTATAGTCTAGGTCATAGTCTAGTCTATAGTCTAGTTCTTATAGTCTAGTCTATAGTCTAGTCTATAGTCGAGTCTAAGTCTAAGTTAAGTCTAGTCATAGTCTAGTCTATATCTAGCTATAGTCTTAGTCTATAGTCTAGTCTATAGTCTAGTCTATAGTCTTGTCTATGTCTAGTCATAGGCTAGGCTAGAGTCTAGTCTATAGTCTAGTCTATAGTTAAGTCTAGAGTCTAGTCTATAGTCTAGTCATAGTCTAGTCTATAGTCTAGTCTGTATCTAGTCTATAGTTAGTATATAGTCTAGTTATAGTCTATCTAGTATATAGTCTATTCGAGTCTATAGTCTATTATATAGTCTGTTATAGTCTAGTCTATAGTCTAGTCATGTCTAGTCTTAAGTCTTATAGTCTATAGTCTAGTCTATAGTCTAGTCTATAGTTAGTGTATAGTCTAGTCATAGTCTAGTCTATAGTCCTAGTCTATATATTCTATAGTCAGTCTAAAGTCTAGTCTTATAGTCTAGTCTATAGTCTAGTTTATATTCTAGTCCATAGTGTAGTCTATGTAGTTTCCATATCAATAGAATTCATTTGAGTAAATCTTTCCTGATTGTTCCATAATCGACCAGAGCTCCCGCATTTTCTCTAAGTGTAAATAAGAAAACTAAACATTTAAGGATTTTTCCCATAATACATGTATTTTGCGTAAACTTTTCCACAAAATTACATAACTTACATGTAATTGTATTTTATTGACGTACAAATCCAGCTCATCAGTTAAGTTCAAGTTTAATGGAACCACATTCTCTTACATAAAATAAAATCCAATAAGAAAATCCAGTTCATTGAAAAACTCACCATAAACGCCATAAAGTAATCAAAATATAATAAATATTTTTTAGCACAAGAAAACATAAAAATCAACGAGGTATTCAAGAGTAACTCAATTCAAGATCAATAACTGGTATATAACCACAGACAGTCCAGTCCAACATTTGCTGACAACATTTACTCTCTATATTTTTGATAAAAATCACACAAAAGCAGAAAACTATTAATAATTTTACTTTGGTCATGACAACTTTTTGCATAATTGTAATAACAACACTCTCTTCCAACCAAAAATATTGTTTTGGTTTTTCTTTACTCACATTGATGAACAAGCTGAACGCAATAAAATAATATCTTCCGGCAAAAAAAATATGATGAAAATAAAAAAAAAACATTAAAACTAACATACGCTTCGGAAACGTTAAGTTATAAACTCCATTGACCACTTTAAACAGGAAACAACAACAGGAGCCGCGCCACTGATAAACTGTGCCAATTTTATGTAGCGAAGAAACTCCTCTCTAAACATGGTATACACATATTTTTACACAGTGATAAATTGAGCTCTAGCTCTTGTTTGTTGCTTCCAGTATTAAAGTTTATGTTCATGATCAATAAATTGAGACAACATTATCGTTATTGGCAGCCTCGTCATCAACATCGTAATCATCATCGTAGTGATCATTAAAGTAATGATGACGGCCATCGTTAATATTGGCCATCAATTGAAGTTTTGTTATTTTTTTTTCGTTCAATTATTGTTTAAATAAATACATAGTTTATTTTTATTGATTTTTTTACACTCATAGAATTGAATGAATAAAATCTGAGCACTTTGAAAATCGTTGAAGATTATGTGAAAACTTTTGGGAAGATTATACATTATCCTAAGGCCTTTTCTGATCTATGATTGCCTTGGTACAAATTCAGTGATCACAAAACAAATTTCATTATTATATTAAAGGTACAAAGTCTAGTCTGCCTATCTAGTAGTGGCTCCATTAGCTCCATTTCTTTTGAGGTTAGAACACAATGCCAGACGGAGTAACTTTCCTATATAAATATATAATCAGCATCTAAATACATATATAATCGTCAGCACATTTTCCTAAAGCTGCTCTCAATCCGTATCTGGTTTCATATCAGGTTTGCGCTTTAAGCTAAGATATCTAAAAGAAGGAAGAAAATATAATAGAGGTTTAAATCTTTATTTTCAAGTTAACAGATTAGGCTTTCAGATGATATAACAAAGAATTTAAACTAAGATATCTTAGTGCTGTTATAATGACTCAAACATGATCAAAAATAAGGGTTTTCAAACTTTACGCTAAGATATCTTGAACAAATGATGTGATGGACTTCGGTTTTTTCCAATTTTATCAGCTTGTGTAATAGATCGAAATCTCAGATAATGAAGTAGGGAGATATAGGGGCCTGAAGTAGAGCATATTGAGCTTTGAGCTGTGCTAAATTCGAAACTGGCCTCATAACCGGTTTTCACTTTAGGTTATGATATCTCTAAGAAGAAAGAAGATATAACAGAGTTTAAGCTTTTATTTTAAAGTCAATGGATTGCACTTTCAGATGACATAACAAAATATTTAAATAAAAGTGTTTTCGAGATGTTATAATATCTCAAATATGGAGAAACTAAGTTATCACGAACATCTGAGTAGAAATCTGATCTAAACCTAGTTCCTTCAAATGTTTAGGTCAGATTTCTACTCAAAGCAGCTCAATCTTTAGAAAAGTATTATACTCTAGTCTCTCCGCTTTGACTTTTTTCAATTTCTTTCGGACTATATAATAAAACTAAATCCTAGGTAACACAGATGAGGAAGATATAAGTCTGATATACATTTAGAGTCCACATTAGGGTCCTAGGTAACACAAATGAGGGAGATATAAGTCTGATTTACATTTAGGGTCCTTATTGGATTCAGAAAACCTCTAGCAATGTCCGTCTATTAGAATAGGTTACCAAACGGGTAGAGATAGCAACTAGGATAAAATTTATCTCTTACTAGAGTTTGTTTACTATTGAAAATGGGCAATATCTAATATCGAGAAATTGAACTAAAACTAGTTTCATGTGACTCTAAATATCTCCATAAAACTGTGAGAAAATCGTTTCATAATAGATCCTACCCCTACATTAATCTCAAGTTGAAACAAGGCCTACTATACATACTTATCTGTTATAAATACGATTACAACACTTCTTTTGTTTTATCTGAACAGCCGTTATGAAGCGATGTTAATGGATCAAATCAAATTTCATCCAATTCTCTGATCAGATCTCATAAATCTCAAGTTGAACCAAGCCCTACTAAACATACTTATCTGTTATAAATACGAATATAACAATCTTGTTGTCAGTCGTTATGAAGCGTTATTAACGGATCTAAGAGTTCTATCGAGTTCCCGGTACTTATATCATAATATTTAAAACATCATATGATTTTCTATTCAAAACTCATAAACGATCTATGTAATGTAATCTAAAATCATACTTCTTTACTCATTACGCTTAAATCCAAGTCCAATTTATTTAATTTTTTCCCGAGTGTATGTATAGTAAAACAAAGTGTTTAAAGTTGTCCAACCACTTGTTTCGATGTACTTACGTATAATTTTATAGCTTCCATATTTGACATTTTAAATATAATTCATTAGGGGGATATTTACTCAGTTTAATGTATTTAACTCGACATTTAGGTTCGTTAACTCAACCTCCAGTTATCGTTTAAACGGTAGATATTCTAACGGTTTAAAATATTTTTGTATGAAAACTATAAATCTATCGTTTCGATAAAATATAACCAGACCCCGATCTAATTATATAGTAAAAAATAAATTTTATTATAAAGTAAACATTAAGATTAGAGTTAAGAACTGAACCACCCTAATACATACATCTGACATTGTAAGATATAAGCGTAATATTATTTTAAAGATATTATGATTACTTCTGGCCACTATTGTATTTAAGCCTTGGTTAAAAACTCAAGTTGTTGGCATTTAATTAAAGTCACTTAAGAAATAAATTATTACTAAAAGATTCGATCTATTTGCAGCTGCTGGTCCATGGGAATTGATTATATATTTAAAATACAAATGCAAATTAAAAAGAAGACAAACAGTAAATATGTCATAACATAAACTAAACAGAAATCTGTTAGAATTTATAGAAGTAATTAACGCATAAAAAATCTTTTTTAATAAAATATAATTATTACCAAAGTAAATTCTAAGAATGGTTTAACTTTTTGTATAAATTTAAAGTTATTACATTTTAAACAAATTAGGCATTAGAATAAATAACAAACAAACATTTTATTTATGTACATAATTAACAATTAACATTAACTTTTTGTCATACCAATGATAAAACTTTTATTTAAATATATTTGCAAATAAGCTAAATGTTAATGTTTTTTTTTTTTAAATTTCTTAAATAAAATATGCAAAATTTTTTGTATATTTTCAGTTATTAATTATTTTTTTAAGTAAAAAATGCGTGAACGTAGTCATACCACACCTAGAAGACGCGGTCCTAAACAACCGTTACCACAGGATGCTCTATACAATGATTCATTCGATTCTCAAGAGTCTCCATACTATACGATCGATAATACGGAAGATATTTATAGTACAACACTATTGCCATCTCAGAGATGTTATGTGGATCCATGGGACTTAGAAAATTATGATTATGTTAGAAAGTAAGTACACTGTAATCACTATTTGAGAGGACGATTAAAAAAATAACAATATGATCGGGCATGTCCGATCGTATGATTAATTATATTAAATTCTGTTTTAACGTAATTTTTTGACGAAAAACTTTGGAAAGAGGCTTTATATAGGAGCTAGAGTCAAACATGGACCGTTATTAATAAATTTTGACGGGTCTATGTACGGGGGCTAGGAACAAATGATATCCGATCATTACAGAAATAACCAATATCATATATGTTTATATAAAACTTAGTTGTGTCATTGTTTTATAGAGTTAACTTATGGAATCTGGATGAAATAATGACCCGATTTCAAACATTTTCAACAGACTTTGTTCTTAGTCCAAATTTTTATCAAATTATCTTGAAAATTTAACCTTGCGCACCTTCATGGACAGCCAGCCAGACAAACGTGCATGGCTTAATCAAACTCAAAAAGTGATTCTGAACCAATGGATATACTTTAAGGTCCCACAGTAGTAGTGATATAAGCTATAAATAGAAACAAGTGAAAGAGTTGTACTCGTTTAATCCGAATCATGTACATACACTTTCAAAGCATTTATTATAAAATCATGTGAATTTCGGAGGGTGGACCATTCGTTTTTATGAATCAGACCCTATTTGAAATCTAGTCAAATATAAAGCGATCTTCATGGTATTTGGTAGAGAGATTTTGGTTTTCATAAAACATTTATGTCAAATTTCATCGCTATACTAGTCCAGTTATGAATAATAAATTAATTTTTGGAAGAGGACTTTATTCGACCAGTTGACGGGTGTCCATTTGTATGGGTAGTTGATCAAACCCGAAACCTAAAGTTAATATTTATAGACAGATGGACGGACATGGCTAAATCGTCTTAGAATCTAATCAATACCCAGAATACGACCAATATTTCGATATTACAATATGTGCGTTTGTGTGGTCCATCTTCCAAACTTATACTCCTTCAAAATGACAGATTTATTTCCAAAACCCTTAAATTAACAATAAACTTCTAAATCCTTCTTCCTGGGCTTATCGCGTTTTATGTGTTTTAGAACTATCTTTACTAGGCCATAATGTTTATTCGGATAGATCGATTTTTTCCATTTTAATGTCAATATTTGAATTAAATTTTCAAGTTGCCGGCTTTTAGGATCTATCGGGTTTTAAAGAACTTTCGATGTACAGAAACTCGTTAGCATTTTCCAATCTTTATCCCTTAGGATTTTAATATTTGGAATAACATTGCTCCCAAGATATCTGGATCGAATTTCAAATAAAACATTGGTAATGAAAGAGAAAGTAATCCATTCACTGTCCTCTCGATATGCTCTACATTTGTCTGAGTTTTTTCGTATAATTTTGTATAGCTGTGTCCCTAATCCTCTGTGACTAATCAGAATACGTACTAATCGGACTTGCTTATTCGTTAGGATCACCTCATGTTGTAGTATGGGATTACTAATTGCCAGTGTAAGTTATCCTATGTTAAGGCCAATTGGGTTAAATGTTCTTACTATCAAGAGTTCAAGAGGTCTTAACAATGAAATTATTTAATCCATGAAAATATTACTAAAGAAACACTTTATGCTTTCTATTTGCAGAAAAATTGAACAGCCAATATCTCCACGTCCCCAAGAATATTACGAGACATCGCTATCACCTAGTCCCATCGAGGAGCCCATGCATTCGAACTATTACTACGACAGGGAACCAATAGAGGTTCCACCTCGTATGGCATCCACTATGCCACGTAATCGTCGACGTTCTTCACACTATCAATGTCAAATGGAATGCTGTCAACCTCAGCCGCAAAGAAGACGTCCTAGTGGTCTTTACGATGTGGGTGGTGCGGATAAATACGATGACTATATGACTTTGCATATGGCACAGAAATTTCAAAATGCTCTTAATTTGGAAGATGTTGAACAAAATATTTATACAGGATTTGGTGGTAAGTTGTTGAAAATGAGATAATTTATAAAATTTTTAACTATTTCACTCTCTAATAGGCCTCTCATCTTCCTCCTCTACCGAGCCGCATAGTTCGCTGGGCGATGACTATCACACAATGACACTACAGCGACAAGTTTCCAACTATGGCATACTACCACAAAGACGAATTTCTAAACCAGCACCCAAATTGGAATTTCCCTCACCACCACCAATGCCACCAACCTACGACTATTGTAATCCTTATGCTACATTGCCTCCTTGCTGTAGTGTATCCGATTGCTATGAATGTTTGTCGCAGGCTCAACAGCAACAACAAATCTATGGCACTCACTCGATTTACGGCACGACCCCAGCCACTGGACCCTCTAGTTGTTATGGCTGTGCGGGCATGACCGCCAGTCAAACATTAGGGCGACGTCCCTCTTCATCGCTCTACAGTGGAATTTATAGTAGTAAATTCGGTATGAGCAAAAAGGGTCTATTGCAAATCGATTATTCGTGCAGTTGGAATGATTTAGATCGTGTTATGGGTAAAAATTATTGAACATGTTAATAATAAAATTATTGTTATGATTAATTTAATTTCATTCAATTGAGTTTTTATTATTATCTTAAGGTAGTTTTTCACATTGTTGAAATATTTGAGGAAATAAGTGTGTCCTATTTATAAGATGTTTAACTGAAGTTTTGTATATGAAATATACATACATATAACGAGGAAGGGAACAAAGAATAGATCTTGTGATTTTAATAAACATTTGTTTTGAATAGTGTTTAGACCTCACGAACACCAGCTCCCGAAGACATCGGCTTTATACCATTCTAATACAATCAGTAGATTTTCACTTCTTGTTAAAGCAGAGTAATATAAGAAGGTTTTAATAGGTACTTCCACCGTGCCGATCATTTTTTTAAAGAATAATGAACAAAAATTTTCATGGTCACCCATTTTTCATCAAATATTTTTATAGTGTTACCATACTTTTTAAATAGATTTAAGTCTATTTAATGATTTTTTCCACAATTGTGTATATTTTGAATTCTTGTCTTGTATATTCTATATATTTTCACTATCACTAATGGACCAAAACTTATTTAACAATATTTCGAAACCTAAATTTATTAAATTAAAACTGCTATTCGACTTTTTTTTAATTAAAAAAACCTCAATTTAACTAAATTAAATAGTTTAAAGATTTATTTAAAATATTAGTTAAAAACGATTGTCAAATAGATACTAAATAATAATATTTATTCCATAAAAAAAACAAAAAAATAACCTTTTTATTTTAATTAGTTTTTAAAATTATTAAGTAATTTGTTATAAACCGGTAATAAATATTTATAATTAGAGCAGCATATTTTGATTTGTAAAATGTATAAATATTTGCTATATTTTATATTGGTCCATTATATAGTTCATTATTAATTGCATATTTAATGCAAAATAAACATATTTAAGTCACTTGATTATTGTTATTCTTATAATATTTTATTAAAATAAAACCAAATAAAATTTTAATTAGCTTTTTTAAAAAAAATTTAATACAAATACATTTAATTCAAAAGTTACTCACGAGTAAGTAATATAGTTTAGGCACCATTTCTTGATCAAAAACTTAGATAGTAGTTCTTGACCGATGTTGTTGAAAAATTGTGTCCTTACTACCTTGCAAACGAACTAACATTGGTGCAATTTTTTTTTGGAATAAAATTTTTATTACTTTAATAGGGAGAAAAAAGTACCAAAAATTTACCCCCTTTTGGTACGGGAAATTTGATTTTGTACAACCTATTAGGAATTAATTTTTAGTATTTTTTCGATCGTTCGCTAAGAAATATAAAATTAAACGTTGTGCAGTGTTGTCAGTGTTACTAGTCTATAGTCTAGTCTATAGTCTAGTCTATAGTCTAGTCTATAGTCTAGTCTATAGTCTAGTCTATAGTCTAGTCTATAGTCTAGTCTATAGTCTATAGTCTAGTCTATAGTCTAGTCTATAGTCTAGTCTATAGTCTAGTCTATAGTCTAGTCTATAGTCTAGTCTATAGTCTAGTCTATAGTCTAGTCTATAGTCTAGTCTATAGTCTAGTCTATAGTCTAGTCTATAGTCTAGTCTATAGTCTAGTCTATAGTCTAGTCTATAGTCTAGTCTATAGTCTAGTCTATAGTCTAGTCTATAGTCTAGTCTATAGTCTAGTCTATAGTCTAGTCTATAGTCTAGTCTATAGTCTAGTCTATAGTCTAGTCTATAGTCTAGTCTATAGTCTAGTCTATAGTCTAGTCTATAGTCTAGTCTATAGTCTAGTCTATAGTCTAGTCTATAGTCTAGTCTATAGTCTAGTCTATAGTCTAGTCTATAGTCTAGTATATAGTCTAGTCTATAGTCTAGTCTATAGTCAGTCTATAGCCTAGTCTATATTCAAGACTATAGTCTAGTTTATAGTCTAGTCTATAGTCTAGTCTATAGTCTAGTCTATAGTCTAGTCTATAGTCTTGTCTATAGTCTAGTCCATGGTCTAGTCTATAGTCTAGTCTATAGTCTTGTCTATAGTATAGTCTATGTTCAAGATTATAGTCTAACTAAAGATTAATCTATAGTTTAATGTAAATTCTTATCTGGTCCAAGCCAGTATATAATCTAGTTTATAGTCTAGTCTAGAGTTATGTGTATAGTCTAGTTCATAGTCTAGTCCTTAGTCTAGTATATGGTCTAGTCCATAGTAAAATCTAAAGTCTAGTCTATACTACTTTCGACAGATTTGTTTATAGAGATTTAATATTCTTAATTTTTTATAAAATTTACTGAAGTTTTATATTTATTCGGTAAGTTACTAAATTTCCAGCTATTCAATAAATTTGACGTTTTCTAGCGGTTTTTTAGGCATGGTTTAACGGGAAATATTGGCAACGGGAGTGAATGAAAATCTATAAAAAGGGACTTTCTGATACTTTTTCGAGTATCAACAGCTGCTTTTGGAATTTTCTGTAATATTGAGACTAGAATAGTCTTCCAGTGCAGACCATTTATGAAATATCTAACTGATGCAAACAGTACTTTTATATTTGAAATTACTGTACTGTTAGTAAATACACACCGGATGTTGATAAAAACCACAAAGACGCGTGTCTCAGTGCAGCCAACATTGCTCAGCTTTTCAACTTCACGGTTGTAATTTATACGCCTAAGATGGCGTAGCTAATATTTCATAAATATTTCTTAAAATATTTATGTTTTTTATAATATTAATAAATTTTACCCAAAAGTAATTACTTAGAAATTAATTTTATAAATTTTTAATAAAAAATAAAGCCTTTTAAGCATTTACTTATTATTTTACACTTTTTGCAACGATGTCAACTGTACCTTTGTTAATGCAACCCTGTTATTAACGTGCTACTCAAAAATACAACACTGTGCATGGTTGACTAAACGTAAAATGGCTTTCGCAAAACTCTGTGTCGACAAGCATTAATAACGTCGGCGGGTGACTCTGAAAATGTCAACGACGTTTTAAAACTGACTGTAAGTCGCCGATGTTGTTAGCTTTTTTTTTTTAAATTTACAATGATATATTACTGTGTTGTTTCTATATAACGTACGAATACTTTTCGTTAATATTTTACTTGTATTTTGTTATTGTAACGTTATCTAGAAACACACATAAATAAAAACGAAATCCGAGTAACTAAAAAAGTGGAATTTTGGAGCAAATATTTAAAAAATCGGAATTTTTTAAATTGTCATTTAAAAAATCGAGATTTTATATAACTTAAATAACTGAAACTCCGATTTTTACAATATCTAGTTATTTTTAACTTTAAGTTATATTGACAGCTCTTTTACAAAAATTGTCTTAATTGGAAGAATAACTACTAGTTAAACGAAGAAGTCTTAAGTAACTTTAGGAAAAATTGTTATTGAGTAGAATGTAAGCCATATTTGGCCCTAAGGGCTTGTTTTTAAATTTGTAAAAATATATTAAAAAAATATTAATGAAAGTGTACATCAAATTATACAAAATATGGTAAAAGTCTTCAAGCCGTCTTAGCTGAAAAATTTTCGGCGTCGGCGTCTTTGAAATTTTTGCGGCGGCTAGACTTAGTCGGCTCAGGTCTCTGGGCTAACGCCAAAAATTTCAGCAAATTTTTTTGTTTGTGGAATAAAAAATTTTTCAATTTAATATTAAACCCATAAAAAATGCTTCAATTATTATAAATTTACAATAAAAATATTCTTTAAACAATTCTCCATTGAATAATATAAAGATTCGTAAAAGGGAAATAAAGAAATTTTAGAAAAAAGTGTTTAAAAATTGAAGCCAATCAATTTGACCAAGTTCGCGTGTATGTAAGAAAAATACGGAAGAAAAAAAGTGTGCTTTGCCAAATTCTCATGAAAGAATAGAAAAAATCACGCTAAGAAAAAAAGAATAATACGCAAAAAAATATAAATTAATAACAAAAGAAAGAATTATTTTAAAAATTAAGAATTTTCAGCAAGAAAATTAAGAAATATTTAAGAAAATTGTGAAATTCATTTTAAGTGCAAGAAAAATTGTGAAAAATTCTGGCTACGATTGAATAAGAGGGTGTCTCCTCTAACGTAGAGCGCGCTCGGTTGTCCGTGGTCTTGTTTTTTTGTTTTTGCTTCGTTGAGACTCCGCTGGGCGAGACACATAGACTTTCGGGCTCGTTGACGCGCACTCGTTTCATGTTGGTGGTTCAATTTAGTTGGTCTGCAAACGTCAGTGTGTGCGGATTTAAAGGCTGTTGTTGTCTTGTTTACCGTGCCTGCTGTTTGTTCTGCTACTAAAGACCTCAGCCAGCCAGAAGTTGTATGTCTGTCTGTCAGAAACGCAGACGGACGTAGAAACCAGAAATTTATTAACAAGACAATTAAAAAGAAAAAACAACGTGTTAATGTTACCTTTAAAGGCCATAAAAAAAGTAATTATTAAATGGCGCTCGGATAACAAAACAACATTGAATCAAATATTTTGTAAAGTAAAGGAGAATAATAAATCCTTAATGTAAAATATTAAAAAGCAAGAATATATACTAAAAGGTAATTTGCATTTTAAAATGTAGGTACATATAATAAATAATGTTTAATGTATTTTAATTGTTGTGTTTAATGCTTACAATATGTTAAGCACTAGTTATTTTTGTTGGTTGTTTTAGTTTTAATTGCTAAAAAAAATTTTGCTAAAAGAAAAAAAGGCGCGTGTTTTTATTTGTGATAAAAAACTATTTGTACATTCATAATATGATTTTAGATTTTTATGTTTTTGTTTCATTTTCCTTTTCTTTGTCTTTATTTATTTCGTTTATATTAAAATTGTTTTTGTTTTGCTTTTGTTAGTTTGTCTTGCTTTAAAAGATAGTAGAATGTAAATGTTTTGTTTGTGTATTTTAATAATTTAGTGATTCCCCAATAAACAATTTTAAGTAAAAATTAATATGCAAATACTGATAGTTCTCATATTTGCAACAAAAGTGTCTTAACTCAAAATTTTTAATGTTAAAATAATGTTCTAGAAAGTAAAACTTAAAATAAAATGGCTAAAAATTCACAAAACAATAATT